TCTATAATAGGTGATTCGTCGCCAAAATAGTGATTGTTGTGCACGGGACTGCTAAGCATTCCTTCATTAAGATCAGGAATGCTAGGAAGCCACTTGCACGTCATGTTGTAATGCCCCATCTCCTTCCAACAGACATTGAGTGCTTGCAAAGCTTTGAGAACTTCTGTCATGATTTCACGAGGATGGGCCCCAGACTGTAAATACAAAAACAGAAGTCAAACTCAGGGACATAAAAGGAGTTAAGTCCCACTACTGGTCCTCCGCGTGTTGCATACCAAATCTACTCTTAATTGTCTGAACTTCTTAATAAGTATCAACCATACTTATCCTGCTTCTTATGGTTCATTTTTCACCATAGTAAGTTACCATCAGAAAAAAAACAGACATTAAAATGCCTAAGATCGAAGCCCAGTCACCCGTATGCCTACAATGAATATCATACGAAGTCACCAGTTAATGAAAACTGCTTGAGACTCAGAAACTCAACCTGAAGTCCAAGAGCCCATTTCCTCTCGAGGCCTCTTAAACCCATTGCTTGATAATCAGCATATCCTGGAAGGCGGTGTCCGACACCTGGAGAAGTAGGTTCACTAGGATGTAAGCGGTGGAAGCCAGATTCCTAAAATACAGATTAAAAGGGATCATAGTTCAAACTCGATAAGAGAGTGAAGGAAGAAGAAAGATGATGTCAATTAAATGGTGGATTTTATAACCATAAGACAGCTTTAGTTAAGCAATGTCAGTAATAAGTAGAAAAATTACAAATAAAACACACCATAGTTTCTTGAAACTCCGTTCCAAATTAGCCGCTTGAGACTCGGAAGCGATTGTCCAATAGTAAGTAGTAAGAAACAGTTCCCTGGAAGATAATGAAATAAGCAATAGGCTACAGTTCCCTGGAAGATACTCAACAGTAGGAAACAGTTTCATCAAGACAATGAGTTGGAGAAATTGAAACCTCTTTCTGAATTCTATTGCAAAGAGATTCGACCAAATGGTTCCTTTCAAATCCCATTCTGATCACTTCCTGAAGGATCTCCTCATCAATCTGTAGTTATGTTTCGATGAGGAACTAAAACTAGTCATCGCATAATATCAAGAATTGAAATTAAAATATTTAATACATCCGAATTCAGAACTTCTCAGGCACTACCAAGTCGCAGGCTAAATCTCATTATATGATCCAGAAAGCATTTAAGCAAGGCTTGTGCAAGGAAATGACTTATTGGAGTAAATATATTACCAGGAGTCCAATAACAAGCAAGAAAACTCAATAATTACGAAGTATCTTACTTCAAAATCAAAAGCAGGTGTTTTAAAGGTTCTCCCTGTAGCAAAAAATCTATGGTATTCAGTATTCAATGTACCAAAGCTACATCCAGAAGCCGACAAGAGTTCAGAATTTCACAAGAAAGTACACTCTAGGTATACTTTTTTGAGCCTTATGGTTACTTTTAAGTTATCATATCAAGTCAATGCCTTTCAGTGTTTAATATAGCATTATATAAGCATATTTACAATTGAAGCTGAACAGTTGAACTCAGGAGAAAACAAAATCAACACCTTTCTAGCTTGTTGCATTGTATCTGGTGGGGGGACAGCTAAATATCTTGGAAGATGTGCTTGAAACCATGGATGCTGGCGGATCTCAGGAATGGTCATTCTTTCCATTGGATCTACTACAAGCATCCGTGGAATCAAATCTCTAGCACCGGGAGATAAATGGCTTGAAAGAGTGTATATGCCTCCCTGACAAAAAAAAAATAAAGCCAATTACAAGGTATTAGCTCTTTAAGGATTTGAGTAGGTAATAAACATGATTAAAAACGAAAATCTGATTCAGAAATTATTAACAGGATAGAAAAAGAACAAAGTGAAAATAAAATGCGCATAAGCATATAATTAACTAATACTTATTTTTTAGAGACCTACGAGAAATCTTGGACAAAAAATATGATGCCACTCACTTTTATTTTCTTAAAGAGGTTGGGAACGTTTTCATCGTCAAAAGGAAGGGTGCCACAAAGAAGGGCATATAATATAACACCACAGCTCCATACATCCACTTCAGGTCCAGCATACAGTTTCCCACAAATAACCTATAACAATGGAGAGTTGGAGACCCATATACATTAAGGAACGCCATCATGACATGATACAAATTTCAATTAAATAAAAGAAAACCAGAACAATATGACAATACATGTAAGAAATCCACCATTATTTTCAAATTCAGACTCCTACCTCCGGTGCAACATATTTTGGGCTACCACAACTTGTCTTCAGAAAATGACCATCTCTCATTATGTTGCTCAAGCCAAAATCAGCAATCTTCACATTGCATTTAGAATCCAGAAGCAAATTTTCAGGCTTCAGGTCTCGATGAACCACCATATTTCTATGGCAGTACTCCACCCCAGAAATTATCTGCTTAAAGATTTCATACATAATTTCTAAGAAAAAGAATTTCAGTAACTAATAGTAATAAAAAAGAATTTCCAAGCAGACCTGCTGAAAAAAGTTGCGAGCCTCATCTTCCTGCAATCTTCCTTTCTCCACGATATAATCAAAGAGTTCTCCGGACTTCACATATTCCATAACAAGAAAGATATCTGTTGTTGTCTCTATGACATCATAGAGCCGAATGATGTGAGGATGCATAAACAATCTCAAAATTTTAATCTCCCTTCCAACTGCACCAAAGATTAAGCCTTCCTCAGTCAATAATTCTATATAATTTGACAACCACATGCAAGAATCCATGCAACCGTGACTCATGCACGCAAAACATGGGTCGTGATATGAGAAATCGAATAAAGGCCCTCTTTTTGTTTTACTCAATGAATTGTTTCCATTTTAACAACCATAAAGAATCAAGACAGTTTATAAGGTTTGAATTAATAACTATAAATTTTAGTTCTGAAAGCAAGATAGCATGCAGAAAAAGTAACAATCAAACTCAACCTAAGAAATGCAATCCTTCAAAGTAACAAACTTTTAAAATAATCATTCAAAAAAATGATTAGAACTGTAGCTTATAATCAGTAGTAGACTTAAGGTGTACTAGATCGAGCAAAAAAGCGGGAAGTGAAAAGAGAATAAATTTTTTAGTGTGATTGGTAGGAAGGAGAAATGAGAGGGAAAAAAGAAGAAAACATTGACATTTTCCATCTTAATGCATTTAAAATGATATTACATATCGGAAACATCAGAGAAATGTGAAAGTTAAGTGTACAATTTACATTCTACAATATTATGTATTTTCAAAATGTTTAGCTTTATTTTTTTAAAAATTTCTACCCTACCAATCTATGTTTGGAATAAAATTATTTGTTCTTTCATATTTTTTATATATATATATATATATCTTCTTTCAATTTTCTCCCCTCCAATTTTTCTACCAGAAAAAGCATATTAATGTCGCATTTTTTTTTGTTAATCTAACGAATTACTATATTCTTAATTCTCAAGCTTGTTTCTTACTTCAAAAACTAAACTAAACCTAAAATCCGATCTCTAAAAAAGAATTTACCTCTTTCCTCCATCTCCATATTCTTGATCTTTCTACGATTAAGAATCTTCATAGCAACCTTATAACCAGTGGAACAATGTTCAGCAATTTTAACCTTTCCAAAGGAGCCAATTCCAAGCGTTTTTCCAATCTTGTAATTCGATAATTTATCGGCTCCACTTCCTCCTCCTCCACCTGATCCATCCATTTTTTTCCTTGAAAAAAAAACACAAATCTATATTTAAAAAGGTTAATTCAAATCAAAGCTGCTGGAGAATCTCGAAAATTAAGTGTAATGTTACCTGATTCGAACCGGAACTGCCTCCTCTTGGTTTTTTGCTTTGATGGAGAATCCAATTGGAGAAGAGCTAGCGAGCTTCTTTCTTTCTTATTGGCTAAAAATCCGACATTTTTCCCTCTTTTCTCGCCCTTTGGATTCTATAGAATAACAGTGATGCCCTCTTCAGTTTAAGGATTTTTTTAATTAAAGGAAGGGTAAAAGTTTAATGATATAAATGATATAATATTTAGGGTGTATTTGGTTCACGGAATGTAATCGGTGGGAATAAAAGATTATCAGATAATAGGATTACTGGGAATATTACATTACTTTGTTTGGTTGGTTTGGTAAGAACGTAAGATTACAGTGTTTGGTTGAAGGAATAAAATATTACTAGAATGTATATTTTACCAAATTGTCCTTGTTCTATATTTTTTAACAAGTGAAATTCTAAATATTTAAATAAAAATTATTTATATAAAAATTCATCGATAATATATTACTTGAGCATTTAAATATATCATTTGTTATTTTAATTTTAATTAATATTAAATTTTACATAATTTATATAAAAATATATTAAAATTTTATATTAACACAAGGAGCGGATCAAAACTAAACATCATTATCTAGCCCGGGAGATTGTCAACATTACAGCATGCGAAAGGCTTGAAAGAGTGGAACGCCATGAACTTCTAGGCAAATGGAGATCAAGATTTATTATGCCGGACTTTACACCCTCTCCATTAAGCTCATTTGTCAACAATACCATCAAAACTTTGCTGCAAAGCTATTGTGACAAGTATACACTTGAAGAAAGAGATGATGTTCTTTATCTCGGCTGGATGAATCGAGCTATTGTCGCTTCATGTGCATGGAGATGTTAACCGATTGATAACTGTTTTGACAGTGTTGATACAACCTTTAATTGGAAAAAGAAAACATGGAAAAAACACGAGATTAGAGCTTACTTGGTAACCATGTCATTTCCAGGGATGCAATGTAAACAAGGTTTTTCTAGAATTAAATGTTAGTGATTAATTTTTAGTGGTTAACTGTTGCAGCTTGTCTTGTTTACGCGTTTTCCACTCTGTAATCTTAATATTACATAGTTATGGATATGTTCTTTTTTTTATGGATATGATGCTAGTTGGTCCATTTGCCTGAAAACGTTCACGTTTCAGTTAAAATCTACGACAAAACGCTCACATTCTTAAGATATGATAGAAAATATATATTGTATTTCTTACAAATTCCATTACAAGAACTTGTTTTACAAACACTTTCCTGTGAAAAATAAAATTGTATCCGTTCCACTTTTGTACAAACTCCCAAGTTTAATACAAATAGTGATTGGCAACGTTCATCTTAGACTGTGTTAATTAGGATTTTATTTCGACGGAAGTCATTTTTGTTACTGCACTCGAAACCGATTGCCATTCGATCGAGCAATTTGCTTTCATGAGACTCGTAGATTGGTTCTCCTCGTGATAACCTTTTCCTTGCATTTATCCAGTACATTTCTGGTTGGTCTTGCAAGGAAGCTCCAATCACTTCAAGTGCCAATGAAAGTACTTTGCATTCATTAACAATCTATCAAATCCAAAATTTGAAAAACATCAGTAAAGATAAAAGTCAGCTTAACTATATCAACTACTAATCCTTCAAAATCATTCTTAGTTAATTACCTGTTTGATCAAAGTTGCATTTCCAGTCGGAGGAATCGACTTTTGTCCAAAAGCAGAGTGACAAAACAGGGACATAGATTCATCTTCCCTCAACAACTCATCGACAATGGAATCCACATATCTATTCAATGTATAAGGGCTTACAATCACTATAGTTGCAATTCACAAAGCTAGGGTATTGAACTGACATTATTCTCTGCAAATAAAATAAAGAACATTAGAAATCATAAAGAAATTAGATGATCGAGGATAGTTAAAAAAAAATGGATGTTCAGAAGTCTGTAGCTCACACTAATAGTTTTCCTAAAATTCTTTGGATCCTCCTGGTCCTCAAACGGGTAAACACCAACCAACATAACATAAAGAGTCACTCCACATGACCATACATCTGCCATATGAAAAAGGAATACAATCCTAAAATTAATCAGAAACAGAAAATGAGAAGACTTTATATCTATGCTTTGGAAAGACTTAAAAGAAATCCAGACCTCAGTTTCTCTTTGCCAAATATCTTAAGAGCTATTGCTTTCATGATCGTTAAAATGAAAACCTTCATGATAAAGTGCACTACTAGTAGATATCCAATCAATTGATAAATATTATGAGCAATTGATCTTTAACCAAGCTTATACTCACCCTCAATAATTCTTAAAAAATTATCAAGTAACATCTGCCTATCTTTATTCTTTAGAACACTAAGTTAAGGCATCAACTACTCCATCATAAAACTATTTAGCATAATAATACAATCATAACTGAAAAACCCTAGCCTCGTAAACAAGCCACTATCAACAATATTTGAACAAAAGTAGATAAAGACTAAAGTACCTTGCCATCATATTCTCTCCGAGAAAGAACTTTGGGTGCAATATAAGCTGGAGTTACGGTTTAGAGTTTAGAGAATTTATTCAATAGGTAAACACATGAATCGTATTCAATAGGCAAACACATGAATCACATTATAGAAGTGGTTTGCACTTGGAGACGAAGCAAACGCAGAGCCAAAGAATTGGGAAAATTAATTCATAATTCGAAAATGATTATGGAAATCTGGGGGACTTACGGTTTAGAGTTTAGAGTGAATATATTGTGATATTACCCGGCTAGTTCCTCAATATCGAATTTAGAGTGAAAAAGAAGAAGCAAAGACCAAGATTGATCCCAACAGAAGTTAAAAGAGCTGAAAGAATCTTCTTTCCAAAGACAGCTTTGATATACTAGCCTCTATAAGATTATTAAACACAACAGCTCAATTGCAGTCCTCGACTGTCCAAACCAAATTCCCTGATTCAAAATTTAGAAAATTGTGTCAAAAATCTCAAAACCTAACATAAAAGCGAACTTAAAACATAAAACTGGTCAACAAAGGAAACATAGGAAAATGTTTTTGCTATCAAAATGTAAAAGGACATCACTTTATGAACATTTTTTTAAACTTTTTAAACTAATTGTTTGGTTAGTGTTTTGATTTGCACTGTGTATCAAAAATCCTTCATGATTCTACACGGTTTTACTTCACAAACAATTCAATAACTAATATCAAGGTTAAACCATGAGCAAAGCTAAGGATTTGCTTAAGATTGAAACGGAACAACCAAAACCCAGAAAAGAAATCTATGTTATAACTCAATTTGATTATGCCCTAAAACCCAGAAAAGAAATCCAAAAATGAACTCCTTACAAAGAGAGAGTGAAAAAGAAGACCTAGTTTAGACTTGCAGAATGAGATGAAAAGGTAAAAGTGGGGCGCAACAACACAAACCTTGGCTTGCACTTGGAGACGAAGCAAACACAGAGACAAAGAATTGAGAAAATTGATTCATAATTGGAAAATGATTATGGAAATCAGGGGGACTTACGATTGAGAGCTGAGGAGGAGGCGGATAGATGATATGATTGAGAGGCGGATATTGGTCCAGGATATAAGGCAAAAACATGTACTCGGTTCCCTGGTACCCTTTGATCCCATCCGATGTTCGCATCTCAGGGCCGAGACCGCACAACACGAAGTACTCAAATAAGCTATATACCTTCTTAGTTCATCGCCATTTCTTTCCAATGAATACTGGAAGCTGTGCAGCAATTCTTTCATCTCCACCCATGTCTTTATGCAACAAATCCATTAGTTCCGAATGAACATATATTTCTGACTTAAGCTTCCATCTGCTTGAAACAACTGCATCGACATTCTCTTCATCACAATTTTCTATCAGCCATAACCAAACGGGGAGAAGGGTACTTTAGACAACGGGATCGGGAATAAACAAATACTTAAGAGAGATGGGGGTATGACATTCCCGGGAAAGCATGAAAAAAATACCACTATTGGTATTCATTCATTCCCTGCACTTGGGAATGTAGACCATCCAAACATAGGTATATTTACCCGGAAAAAAACATTCCTTCAAGGAATGAAATATGACGTGAACCAAACGGAGTCCTAGTGTAATTTACTCTTAATAATAATGAAGTTAGCATACAATGACTACATTTAAAACATTCAGATAAAAGGGTTTGACCTAAAGTTTAACGTATGAATTTGAGGGAAATGGTAGTTAAAATATAATTAGATTGTCTTCTATTAGCAGAACCCTAATCAGAAATTTTATAATTTTTTTCTAAAACCAAGATCCATTTGTCATTCAACAAAAAAAAAATCATTTCCCAATTTATAGCTCAGTACATTCTCCCATGTAACGCAAAACGCTCCAAAATTTCTTCAGAGTTCACTCCTGGTTTCGTTATTCCCCAATTCTCACCATTTGAATCCTCCAAAAGGTACCATATTTCCTCACTCGATCCAGCTTTTCTATATATTTTTTGGCGTAAAGAATGATTATTTTACCATCTAAATCGACCCAGATCTGATGGAATGATTATTTTACCATCTAAATCGACCCAGATCTGATGGCTCATGATTTATCCTTTAAAATGCTGATCATGAATCATACTTTTGTTCTCAAGTGTTAGTATGATTCTGTTTTCGTTTTGATGAATTGGGAGAGATCTGGTGTCTGGGATTTGAATTTGGGTTTTCTTTCCTTTTTTGATATATATTTTTATTATATTTTAGGTCTACACGTTGATATCTTTTAAAATCTCTGTGTAGTTCTTTTTAATCTTTAGTTTCGTAGCTACTTCGGTTCAAATTTTCCCCCCTTTGCTCCTTAATCCCAAAGGATAATATAGGAGGGGTGCAGTTAATTGCTCAATTTATTTCTGCGCAATTTAATTATTTGTACTGTTCTTTAGAACTCACTACAATTGTTGTAAATTGTAATCCAAGTGAAGTTCCTACTAATACACTACTGGTAATTGATGATTACTAAAGGGCTTAACTATTATCATCATTCTTCACCTTTAAGAAAGCCTCTGGGAAGATTTATTTCTATTTTATATTGAATTCTTTTCTTTTGACATCCTTTTGTTGATTGCAGCGGACACCATGATTTTGTCTGAGTTTAGTGTCGTGTTTGAGTAGTTTTCGGCTTCTCGGTTGAGAAATAATTTTCATTTTTATTAAGAGTCTTGGTTGAATATGGGGGATCTGATTACGTGGTCTCAAGACAATGGATTTAATTGAGAACTTGTCAAGCTCTCTAAAGGTGCTTTCACATGTATGATTAATTCTGAAATCGGGGCTGTTCTGGCTGTCATGAGGAGAAATGTCCGTTGGGGAGTCTATGCTGCAGATGATGATCAGCTCGAGCACTCTCTCATCCATTCCTTGAAAGAATTGCGGGAAAAAATTTCTCATGGGGTCATTTGTGGCAAAATGTTGACCCAGTTGTGTACCTTCAGCCTTTTTTGGATGTAATTAAATCTGATGAGACTGGTGCACCAATAACTGGTGTTGCCTTGTCTTCCATTTATAAAATCTTGACCCTTGATGTACTTGATTTGAATACTGTAAACATGGAAGAAGCTATGCATCTGATCGTTGATGCTGTGACAAGTTGCTGGTTTGAGGTAACTAATCCAGCTTCTGAAGTAGTGGTACTAATGAAGATACTTCAAGTTCTTTTAGCTTGCATGAAAAGTAAGGTAGCAACTAGGTTTAGTAATAAGCATGTATGCATGATAGCAAATACATGCTTTTGTATTGTTCATCAAGCAAGCTCCAAAGGTGAACTGTTACAACGGATAGGTTGACATACAATGCATGAACTAATCAGGTGTATTTTCTCACATCTTCCTGAAATCAGGAGCACCAAACATGAGATGGCTAATGGAAGTTTGTTATCTACTTCAGGAGTGGTAATTTATAAGTCATGCTCCAGGTTCTCAGTGTAACATATTAACTCATTTGTTACCTTCAAATTTATGAAATTAATTTTTATATCGCAGGTGGGTATGCAAAACGGGAATCTTGTGCTTCAAAGTACACAGGTAGAAAATGGAAATGTCGCCGCTGTTTGTGATGGTCCACCCTCTCATACCGCTGATACTTCTAGTCCTCCAATGTTGAAGTCCAGTTTTGAAGTTGACACAATCAAGTCTGGCGAAAAGGAAGGGAAGAAGGAAACCCAACATGATGAAAGATTGATGTCTTCTCCTTTCGGGATCACATGCATGGTGGGGATATTTCAATTTTTGAGTTCTCTGTTAAATGTCACTGAAAATGTAGGTATTGGCCTTAAATCGAATTCTGTAGCATATGAAGAAGATGTTCCACTCTTCGCCCTGGGTTTAATTAATTTGACAATAGAATTGGGTGGGCTATCATTCAGCAAGCATCCCAAGTTATTGGCTATAATTCAGGATGATTTGTGTCGTAATCTGATGCAATTTGGCTTATCCATGAGCCCACTTATTCTTTCTACTGTATGTAGCATGGTTCTCAATCTATATTATCATTTGCGCTCGGAACTAAAAGTGCAGCTTGAAGCTTTCTTTTCATATGTGCTTTTGAAGCTTGCACAAAGCAAGCACGGGTCTTCTTACCAACAGCAGGAGGTTGCTTTGGAAGCTTTGGTTGATCTTTGCAGGCAGCAGACATTTGTGGCTAAAATGTATGCTAATTATGATTGTGACATAACATGCAGTAACGTTTTTGAAAACATTGCCAACCTGTTGTCAAAGAATGCATTTCCTGTGAATGGACCTTTGTCTACAATGCATATCCTTGC